CATTTTACTGGTATTATGTGTTTCTTCTTCAGGTGTGGAAGTGAAGATCTGGCTGTTTGTAATCCTGATGACCGTCAGGAGTACAGCAAGACTACAGCTTGTGGCATTATAATAGACCGATTAGGTAATTTTTGTAGCACTGAGCTAATCATTGCTTAAAATTGAACATTTAACCCTTTCGCTGCCAAGGACGTATGGCATACGGACCTACAAAAGTGCTTCCAGCTGGCCAGGTCAGTATGCCATACGGACCTGGCATTTACAGTTCTACTATAAGCTGATGGTCGCTTTAGCGACCATCAGCTTATAGTAGAACTGTTCAGCAGACTGTCCCCTTTAAATTAATAGCTGTCATCAGCGGCTCACAATCCGCTGATGACTGCTACTAACAAAAATTCCGGGCGCGCCCCTCCCCACGCCGGCACCGCTGCCACCGTGATTTTAAGCTTCTCCTCTCTTTTCCAAGCAATCTGAGAATTTGTGTCAAGAAGACTGGGGAGGTCCTCTTAGGAGGTCTTGGTAGGATAAATCTAATGGATTTCACTAAAATCCTTTGCTATGCTATCTATCGTGGGAGTGGGGCACTTTATTCTCCCTTTGGGATGTTGGCAACAGATCACCAGCTGACAAGCCAAAGTACTATGACAAGCACAAGCTGACAAGCTAGTACTATATGTCCCCAGTCATGAATGAATAGGATTTGATTGACATCACTTCCTGTTCATTCATGATTTCCTCAATGGGGAGAAGCACTCACTACAGAGGCTTCTCCCCATTCAGAACCTGTTGATAGTAAATGTTTTACTATCAACAGTTATGGAATGAATGGGAAGCCTCTGCTCTGTACTGAGTGCTTTCCATTCATTTAGAACAGAGGCTGCAAAAAAATAAATGTTTCTACTTCGAAAGTGAAATGTCAGATATCCCCAGATATTTCACCGGAACGCCCCCCCCCTAACAGTAAAAGAAATAAAATTTAAATGACAACATAAATAAGAAATTGTAAAAAAATAAATTATTAAAAAATAAATTAAAAATGTGTAAAAAAATATCACATTCAAGTGTCATTAATAGTGTGCAAATAAAAGAAGACTTTCATTGATGTTTTTGTTTATTTTAGGAATCTTCAAGGACTGTCATGCTCTAGTAAATCCTAGTAACTTCTTTGACAACTGTGTGCTAGATATGTGCTTCACTCAGGGCGAGTCAACTTCCCTCTGCTATGCTGTGCAGGCATATGCCCAGCAGTGCTCAAATGCCGGCGTGTGTGTAGAATGGAGATCAGACACTTTCTGCCGTAAGTATTGCTATGTTTTTATGAGAGTTTAGTAACTGATATCTAAGCCACACATTCCAACAAGAGTCCACAAGAGTAAATAACAGAGCACTGCAACCAAGGCTGATCTGTTCATTATGTAGATGAGGTGCCCTTCTGTGCCTCAGCCAATAATGGATTTCAATATAGCAACTTGGAACTTCAAGTTTAAAGAACTCACAGACATAAGGCATTCTGTGATATCGCACAGAATGCCTGTGATATAGCACTTTAAGAACCCTTAAAGTGCGATATCTGACAGCGAGTCAAATCAATCAATGAAAACCCAGTGCTATCCAACATACATGGCAAATGTGCTTAAGTCAGAATGTTCACTCAGTCAGCTTTGTTCCTACTTTCCCGTAATTCATGGCAACAAGATTCCAGAGCCCATCTCATAGGTTCACTGAGAGTATACTTACTAAAGCCTGTGATGTGTAACTTCCTTTTTTTGGTTTCTTGTATGACAAATAACACTGATATTTGTATTAGGTTTCATTCTGATTGGTAGCTTTTTAGTACTTATATGTTTTAGATCAGGGTTCCTGTATGCCAGAGGCTGCAAGGGGTATGTTTGAGAGTATCTATTTTGTAAGCAGGGGTTTTCAGATCATTATACCATCAACAAAAGGCAGTGGGTGGAATAGAGCATATCAGAATTGCCTGTATTATCCAACTCAATGTTTAATTGTAATTTTGACTGCACGTTTCCATTAATTACCAATTACTACATCTTCAAAAAATTCTGGATCACCCTCCGCTATGTAAATCATATTATAGAAGCTCAGCATGGTATTGTAGTGTTTCAAAAGAAAGATATATTACTGGTTTCACTAACAGGGACAAGAGTGAAT